CAGCCCTCCTGGGGCATTAACTCCGCAGCCCCTCCCGGCCAAGCCAGGGGGCAGGGAGGCGATTCCCTTTGCAGAGCGAATGGGATCCGTTGCGTTTAGGGTGACCAGATGTCCTGATTTTATAGGTTTCAGAGTAGCAGCCGTGATAGTCTGTATCCGCAAAAAGAACAGGAGTACTTGTGGCACCTTAGAGACTAACAAATTTATTAGAGCATAAGCTTTCGTGGACTACAGCCCACTTCTTCGGATGCATATCTGATTTTATAGGGACAGTCCCTATTTTTGTGTCTTTTTCTTATATAGGCTCCTATTACCCCCCACCCCCTGCGTTGCTTCTTGCTTTGCCGCCTGGGAGGCGGCAGCCCGGTCTGGGTCCCCTGACAGGTTGATCGCACCTAGAACAGCCGAGGGACCCGGTCCTGGCGAGAAGTGCGTGGAGCTACTAGGGTGACCAGATGTCCCGATTTTATAGGGACAGTCCTGATATTTGGGGGATTTTTCTTATACAGGTGCCTATCGCCCCCCAACCTCCTGTCCCGATTTTTCACCCGCTCTCTGGTCACTCTAGGCAGAGCTGCCTATGTGCCATTAAGTATCAGAGGGGTAACCGTGTTAGTCTGACGAAGTGGGCAGTCACCCACGAAAGCTTACGCACCAATACGTGTGTTAGTCTATAAGATGCCACAGGACTCTTATGTGCCACTAGCTAAATGCAGCGGTCCCTTTGCAGCACCAGGGCAGAAAAAGCTTCACTTCTGCACAAACCGTGCATTTTACTGAAGTGTGTGTGTGGGTGGGGGGGGGGAATGGATCCGCTTGAATATATTGTCCTCGAGTGCTCCCTGCCATCCTGCGCAGTGTCACCGGCGAAGGTTCTCCCCGCTTCTATCTGCATCCAAATCCCCTTCTGTCTGCAAACTCTCCCCCGGACCCCAGCCTGAAATCTGAAACTGAGCATTAGGCGGGCTCTGGGCGCTGTATTGAGCAAGACCTCGCAGCAGAGAGCAGTGGTGGGGTATTGCATGCCATGGTTTGTGTGTGTCTGGAAGTGATTTGAAAAAAGCCAATCTGCATTTAACCCTAAACAAAACAAAA